CAGTACAATATAGGATATAATAATAATTTGTAAATTATCAAGGGTGCATGGGGGAGGGGGGCAGAGGAAGGGAGGGGGAGGGGGGAAAAAAGGAAAATGAGCTGATTCCGGGAACCCAAGAGGAAAGCGAATTTTGGGAATAATGAGGGCAACAAATGTATAGATGTGCTTTACACAATTAATCTATGTATTGTGATGAATTGTATGAGCCTCAATAAATTGATTAAAAAAACAAACAAAACAAAACAAAAAAGAAGAAGAAGAACACCCTCAACAAGATGAATTCAAATAGCAGCTGCAGCATTGGGCTTAAATAAAGCAATAATTGTGAGGATATCAGCATAGGTAATGTTTTCATTTTTGTTTTGTTTTTTCTTTTTTCTGGTTTACATAATATCCCTGTGAATTGGAGCCAACTGGATGGCATCTAGTAGCACAAAAGTCATTGTAATCCACACTGTTACCCCAAAGTCACTATAACAGATAAACTCAGAAAAGTGTATCTTATGATTTCAAATAGAAGAATAGTAATGCATGATTCTGATAGTTCCTTCATGTGCAGAAAAGACAACAGGGTAGCTTTAAGGTCTAAAGAACTAAGCTTTCTATCTCTTAAAGAGGAATGCATCAGATGAGATGTCTCTAACACTTCATGGTAACTATAAAGTGGGCACTGTTGTTCTGAAATTAATGGACCTGAATTCCATTGTATGGCAGATTGGTCATTTCACACTGGAATGAATGTGTTTTCAAAATGCACACACTATAGGACATCCTTGATTTGTGTCAGTTGTGAGATGGATGAAAATGGCAACCCTTAGGAAGATAAAACAAAAGGTATAGAATAGAAATATTCTAACATTTTATATTATCGATTCTGCTTTGTGGGATACATTTTAGAGAAAAAGGTGTGTACAAAATGTATAGACAGAATATCATATCACAAAATATATAAATGGAAAATGGAAAAGTCAAGTAAAAAGTATCATTCTTAATACGGTCATTAAATGAAAACAAACAAACAAAAAACCAAAACAAAACCCCCCAAAAAGGTAAATAAGTTTTAAAAGCTGTTAATCTGCTCATTTTCACAAATAAGTACTTCATATCAAATATATACAATCATTATTCTAGCTGATATTACTATAGCAATAAAGAAGATGGATAAGGAAGAAAAGTGGATAGGAAATGATTTTCTTGTGCCTTTGAGTCAGTTTCGACCTTAGGGACAATGGGACGTTGCTATAGAAAAAGGCTTCATTTGACAGTTTTATTAACTATCATATAGTGCATAAATAACTTCTACATTTGCCAAATACTGCCACCCTTCAGAAGGAATTTTTATACATATGTTATGCTGTTTTTTGAACAGAAACAGGCAGCAAATTTTGGATTCATTTCTTCTACTTATTAAACCCATCTGAATTGAGTTAATTCCTAGTGCATCCAAGGGATTTATAAAACCTCCAAGCACAACAGGACATTTTCATTAATCACCACATTTCTGAGCACTACTTGCCCTTGTTCAAGTTGCTTAGAAGATATTATTACTCTATCTGTTCAAGAAATTGTTTGAAAATAAATTACTTAGAAGATAAGCAATCTATACTGCATTACTCTGTGGAATGGGTTTATATTGAAGAGTTAGAGCTGTTCTTACTCAGTATAGAGATTAGAATTTTAATCTAACCTTATTTTTTCCCATGACAATCACAAACACACGCCCGCATGTGCATGCACACACACACACACACACACGCACACACACACACACACACACACACAAAACCTCACTGTTAGGAAGTCGATTCCTACTCATAGTAAACATATAGGGCAAGCTAGAGCTGCCCCTGTGAGTTTCCAGAACAACAGTCCTTGTCGGAATGGACAGCCTCATCTTTCTGCCATCGAGCGGCTGAAGGTTTTGCATTGTTGACTGTGTGTGAACAGCCCGATGCATAGCCCAATCAGGCCTTGGGGCTCCTACAAGCACTTTACCGTAACTTTAAATAAGTTAGATTTTGTTTGTTTGTATTTCACTTCAAGTGTATCACTATCACAGTTTTCTCCCTACGTTTCTATTATATTTTACTCAATATAATTTAAGGTAATTTAAATTGAGTGTCTACTGTGCTTGATGTAAGAGTTTTGGGAAACAAGGTTTCTTAAAGTCATTTAAACCTCATATCCTATGCTGTGATTTACTTTTGAAGTAAAGATAGATAGTTATTCCTTTTTTTTTAAAAGTGTATTCGTGCCGAATTACTCATTGGATTATTCATGACAATCATTAGCTCATCATCTATTGAAACAGCCAAGAAATCTTAGCAGTCACAACTCCATAGTCATGTTGACACTGATGGGTCAGATATGATAGTACACATCGTAGAGAAACTCGTTATCCTGACCTTCTAAAAGCTCATTTAGAACAATCAATTAAAATTAAGATGGGAGCATAATGGCGTTGGAGGCATTGGAAAAGGATTAATGAGATCTATGAAGAAAGAGGGCAAAGAGTTGGCAATGATAATCCTGTATCTGAATGGAAATTAAAGAATGGCTAGATGTTTCTCAATCGTAGGACTTCAGATAAGAAATCTTTTCAGCAATGAAATTCCAAACCCAAAGCGAAACTCAATTCTGACTCATAGTGACACAAGGTTGGCAATTCAAAACCACCAGTTACTCTGAAGGAGGAAAATGAGGCTTTTACCGAAGAGTTGCATCCTCAAAAACCCGCAAGGGCAGCTCTACTGTATTTTATTAGGTCGCCAGGATGAACAATGAACAATGCAATTAGAATGTGAAAAATAAAGTTATTATAGGATACTTGAGCTGAATTACTTTCCAATTTTCAACTCAGAAACACTGTGTACCCATTTCATGGTTTTCTTTGCACACTACCCACTAGGCTTTATTCACTCATTTATGGACTACATTATATTTTGACTTGTTCATTGGCTTGTTGGATTTACTTAATGACAAACATCTGCTAGGAATGGGAAATGAGCGTGTAAGTTTGGTCCATAGCCCCCTTCATTACAGGATGGCTATAAATTAGCTAAAACTCTGAATCCATGTGCCGTGCTGGTCATCCTCTTTAGAGCCTCATTTCTTCACTTCTGGCCCTTTGACACTGCAGGCCAGAAGAATTTTCCTCACCTGTTTTCAAGAACTTGGTTGGCTTAGTTATTTAGTACTGCTGTAGCAGAAATAAAAAAATTGGGTGATATAATGAATTGAAAGTTATTTTCTTACTGTTTACGAGGTTCAATGACTGACTCTAAGGCACTAACCAGGCTTGCTCTTTCTTTAGGATCTGAGGAATTTCTTAATTTCCTATTAACTTGCGTCCCTCAGTTCCTTGGAGGTTGTCATGTGGTGTGGCATTTATCTTTCCCTTTCTATGCACCCTGGTTGAATCATCCCTTCCTTATAACCCTTCTGTGGGAGGATGTCCAATTGTCTACGGATAGGCTTTGGGTCTCCACTCCAAACGCCCTCGTTCATGTCGATATGGTTGTTTTGGATTTTTTTATGCCTGATACCTGATCCCTTCAACACCTCAGATAAACCTTTCAGGAACAGTAAGGGGCGTAGCAATACCATGAAGGTAGGGGGAAGGTGTGGGGAGAAACTGGCAACTTATTACAATGATTGAAGTAGAATACACACACCCCAGCCCCGGGGTATGAACAAAAGAAATGTGAGCAAAGCGAGACAGTGAATGGTGTATGATAGGAAAGTAATAATAATTTATAATTTATCAGGGGACTATGAGGGCAGGAGGGTGGGGGAGAGAGGGATGGGGGGGAAAGAGGAGCTAATATCAAGGGCTCAAGCAGAAAGAAAATGCTTTGAAAATGATGGAAACAACATATGTACAAATGCATTTGATACGATCAATGTATGGATTGTTATAAGAACTGTAAGAGTCCCCAATAAAATGGCTTATTAATTTTAAAAAAGAGAGAAGAAAATGTTCTAAAATTGATTGTGGTGGTGATAGTACAACTCTTCTCAATATGATTGAACTATTGAGTTGTATGATATGTGAATTATATCCCAATGAAACTGTTTTAAGAGAAAAAAAACAGCTCTGTGAAGAGGGAAGTTCTACTCCCTTCTGTAGGGCCACTATGAACCAAAATAAACTCGGCAGCACCAGCAACAACAAAAACGTACCACTTTGTAGCCCACAGGGGCAATTCCAGTCCATTCTAAGGGGTCCCTGTGAGTCGGATCTACTCAATGGCAATACACTTTGGTTTGATGTTATGCAGTTTCATAGGCACGATCAAGAACATTTGAACGAAGTATTACAAACTCAGTTTTGGAGGAGGAAGATTAATAAGAAGGCATAGCCTTACTCGAACTTAATTTATTCATCTTTATTTTAATATTGAACTTGCCATTTGTTTCCTTTAAAGAATATATTAATGTTATCCTTCATGAAGGTTTCTTAATCCTAGTCAATAATTTAGGTATTATAGACATTATTTCTGAAGGACTTTCTTTTCATTTAAGCATAAACAAGAAAAATGAAAGGTTTTGAGGTGAGGAAGTCCTTCCAACTCGATTCAGTATAATTTGTTTTAATTGTGGTGATGTGCTAAATATTCAAAATTTTTCTTTTACCTAATTTCTATTGACCCTTGCTTCACTATTAAGAAGTAGGTGTTTTTATTTCTTTCTGAGTATAGCTGAGGTTCCAAAAGGTTATATGAATGGTTTCACTTGAATTTAGACCTTCTTGATTTCTAAAATGATGCCATTTTTATCATTCTATGTTCACCCTACACAAACAAAATCCTTACCAACTTGTTTACCAGGAGATAACTTTGACCACTAAAATTTATTTGGATCTCTATTTTAAACTCCTTTGATCAAGAGCAGTAACAGGATGATTTTGTATTCATATAGGTATATGGCCATAATTGACCCCTTGAAGCCCAGACTGTCTGCCACGGCCACCAAAATAGTCATCGGAAGCATTTGGGTTCTAGCCTTTCTCCTTGCCTTTCCGCAGTGTCTTTACTCCAAAACCAAGGTGCTGCCGGAACGCACTCTTTGTTACGTGCAGTGGCCAGAAGGTCCCAAGCAGCATTTCACGTAAGTCAGTGTTTTAGTATACTTTGTACTGAATCCAGCAAACGTTGAGAAAGATGGGAAACCTACTAGGTTCTCTGATTTTGTTTGGATTTGTTGGATTTGACTTCCCTCCCAGCCCCTGTGTTTTAACATTAAGAAATCTGGAGGGAAAAAAATCTGAACATTAGATTGATAAGAAAGCAGGAAAGTTGCATTGTAGAATTGGTATTTCACACTATAGACTCAGCTTAATAAAGAAGGGGCCCTAGTGCTGTAGTGGGTTGCACATTGGGCTGTGAACCACAAGGTCAACAGTTCAAAACCACCAGCTACTCCACAGGAGAGATGAGGATTTCTACTTCTATCAGGAATTACTATCTGGGAAGCTGACAGGGGCAGTTCTACCCTGTCCTGTTGGGTAAGTCATAATCAACTCATTGGCGTTTTTTAATAAAGATAAAAAGAAAAGAAAAAATTTGTAGTCGACCACATTTTTTTCAATAGAATTCATATTTTAGTGGGTTTTCACTTTAAAAATAACAAATGATGAAATTATAAGAGTAATCTATTTAAGCAGTCATTTTATCTAATCAACTCTCCGTATTTTAGAAGAAAGACATTAGGAAACATTTATTGAAAGAAAAGGCACTAGTTATTAAACTGAGTATTATATATTATCCATTCTTGTTAATAAATATTCATTTGTATGATAATATTGTCAACTTTAAAATTAATCACTAGTAAATGGGAAAATTTGGAAGTATGAGTCTCTTTACAAAAATGCATCATTGATGAGAAAAAAAATTATATGAAACTCTGCTTTAAAGCTTTCCTTTAAGTGAAAGCCACACAAATGTGTAAATGTTCTGTTTGGGATTGCTATAGTATGGCTTATATTCTTAATTCACATTAATTTTATCCTTCTAATTTTCATTGAAAGCTATAAAATTCCATAATTTATTTTGATAATATATAATACAATGTATTTTTGTGGTATTAATATATCTATGTGGTGGCATAGTGATTGCGCTTTGGACTGCTAATCACAAGGTGATCAGTTCAAAACCACCAGCTGCTTCTTGGGAGAAAGTCTAGACTTTCTACTCCCACAAAGAGTGATGGCCTTGAAAACCCACAAGGGCAATTCTCTGTTGCCCTTTAGGGTGAGTTCGAGTGGACCAGATGGCAATTAGTCTGGTTGTTTGGTTTGGTGTTTCTTACCAAATAATGCAATGAATTGCACAATGACTTTGAGGAAATGCATGTAAATATCTCCTGTATTGTTTTATAATCAGTGTTCAATAAGCACGTGCGGAACCAATGTATCTCAGTATATGTATTTTTAATGTTCAGTAGAAAAATATTTCAAAATAGGAGGAAATGTTTTAGTTAATTAATTTTTTCTGGTCTATCCATTTTCCTCTGATCATATCTTTCATAGAGTGCTTGGCTATAATAAAGCAGGAAAAACAAGCCCTTTTCCTAGACCATTCATAATTAAAATGCATACCATACTTCAGTTCTACCATGGTTTCCATATACAATGTAAGTTTGCCAAAGATAACCTGGAAGCATTTGGAAGTAACTAGGGGTACAAGAGATTTGGACAGATTTGAAAACTGAGGCCATAGTCTTTGGGCCTTAAGAGTTAGGATATAAAATTGAAGGAATTCAAAGTCTCATATAGTTAATTTCCATATTCTCTTTAATATATATTTTTTAATTTCTTGCAGTTACCATATTTTTGTCATTATACTGGTATACTGTTTTCCATTGCTCATCATGGGCATCACATATACCATCGTTGGAATTACTCTGTGGGGAGGAGCAATCCCAGGAGACACCGGTGACAGGTATCGTGAGCAACTAAAGGCTAAGAGAAAGGTACTGTTCCACAGAATTTAGCAACACGTATGTAAATTGTTCTAGTGTATGAATTATATATGAAAAACACTAATTTGAGCATTTTAATATAATGTGATCCGATGTTCCACTCCAACTTTAACTTTATAAGAAATGTTGCTTTATTTTCTTTCTTTATAGCTTTAATAAATGCACAGTAAATATCATTCTCTCATAGAAGAATCACTTTCCTTTTTGTAATGAAAAGACATGTTTATTATCTTTTTTTTATATTTATTATCTTTTGGAGAACATTTTCTTTGCTTCTCCCTGAAATTGCTAAAATTACACTCTAAGTGGAGTCCAAGCTTTTGTATTTCTGAAGTTCTGACTATCTCTGTCCTTTATTGAACATAATTTAAGGAGGTCCCTCTGCCTTTTATGCACCCTGTAAATTGCCTGAAGGTCATTGATTTGTTGCTTGTTTTATCTCAGTAATGGCATCACCCCAGTTCTCTTAAGTTATAAGTTCCCCTAGCATAGTAAATTGCTACAGAAAATTTCCATTCTCATCTGTTTCTATCATCTCTTTGTCTGTCTGTCTAGCTAGTTAGTTACCATTCTATCTATTTTTATATAGAAAGAGATATCTCATTATCTGTCTTCCCCTTTCCCTCTATTTCTTGATCGCTTCCTCTGTACCCCTCAGTCTATCACTCCACTCCATGATCTGGTAGTTTTTGCACAGCCATTAAAGTATGTATATTGAGTTATAAGTGCTGCATTAACTCTATTGTACAACATATGTGGTGATATGAAACAATCCAATTTATGACTATTTCAAACGAAGAAGACAATCCCTCATGTGTCTACTATCGGTATTTCCTAGGGTAAACTTTTTCATGAAGATTTTCTGACTGCTGTTTTGTGACTCAATGAGTGAGGTTTTTCACAAATTTGAAGAATTGAAAGAAATCTTCAAGTTATATTTTCTATCTACCTGTCTATTTGGTGCGTGCCTATTATATATCAGAGAAGAAAATTTGGAGAATTGGCGAGCCATGTTCATTGTACAAATTATTATTTACTTCATTTAAGATTTACTTATTCATGTTGAACTAGTACCGACCACCTGAGTTCTTCACTTAAAATGCACTCAACAGTCTTAAGAACCATGTCACGAAGTGTTTATTTAATCATCATCAATCCTGCTCTGGAATCCTAATGTAGAAAATAGGTTTCATTAAAATAGCAATATTTCTCCTCAGTGTTGGCAAATAATGATATTGAAGGCTTATGCATATCTATTGAAATTTTATCATTATCTGTAGTATTTTGTGAATGAAAGGTAAATATAATCTTTTTCCCATCAGCTTATTCATTTAATCCCAGAACAGATGTAATTTTACTTATATTTGAAAAAACTGTAATTGATATGCCCAAATATAAAACTAACTTCAGCAACTAATAATAAACCAATAAATCCAAACCCTCTGCCATCAAGTGGATTTTGACTAACAGGATCCTATGTAGTGTTTCTGAGACCATAAATCTTTACGGGAGCCAACAGTCTCATCTTTCTCTTCTGGAGGTGTGGATGGGTTTGGAACTCCAATCATCAGATTAGCAGCCCAATGACTGACCCCGAGTGACACCAAGTTTCCTTAACTAAAATGCCAGAAATCTGAAAGCATTGCCATCAAGTTAATGCTGATTTACAGATACCCTTCAAGACAGACTATAACTGTGCCTGTGTGTTTCTGAAGCTGTAAATCTTTACAGAGCAGAAAGCCTCGTCAGTCTCCCAAGAAGCAGCGGGTGTTTTTGAACTGACCTTGAGGTCAGTAGTCATATGCCTTGCCCTCTAGCCACCTGGGCTCCTCTAACTAAAAATAAGGAATTCTAAACTAGGAGAACTTTGATAAGAAGAGTTTCACTCTCCCCTTTGCAGTGTCAGCCTTAACAGTTTGCTCATATTGTAATATACCCTCTTGGGTATTTTCTTTTAACTATGCTTTTGACTTGATCACATTAAATAACTGATGGAAGGTACGATGTATTTCAGTTAAATTCCCATTTTTTTATTACCCACTTAGTTTCCTCTCTTTTCTTCTTCCAGGAAAAATATGAAATTACAATCTTAGCTCTCTTTTAATTTCTGACTTTCACGTCTCAAAAGAAACAAAAGGTACCAGGGAATGTTTATTTTTTTGTTCCTATACATAAATATTTGAGCTTGATTTCTGTACTTCGGAATTTCAAAGTAGAAATAGCAAGTCAAACCATCAGTAATATCCTTTTAGGATATTTTATAAGATGTAAGAAATATTTTAATATTCTAGTCTTTTAGATAGTGTTCAGCACTAAAATAATACAAGATGGCATCCATTCTATACTTTGACCTTGCCCTTAGATATTTCTCATAGTAATTCAAATATAGCTGGGCAGTAACACCTATTTAATACAAAATTTTAACTTTTCAAATTTCCCCCAAATTAAAATACTTCCCAAACCACTTCAGAAATGTTTTGGAATACATTTGTTTCTTGTAATCATGCTTTCTTGTTTAATTAGTCGTGTCATAACAGAAGGCGCCCAAGAAGCATAGTGGTTATACGTTGGGCTGCCATCCCAAATATCCAAAGCTCAAAACTACCAGCCTCTGGAAGGAGAAAGAGAGGGCTCTCCACGTCAGTAAATAGTCAGTCTTGGAAACTCTCATGGTTAGGTCTTCTAGCCTTTGCTATGGGGTCGGCATCAACTCAGTGGCAGTGAGTTGAATGAGTCATGCCAGAAAAGCCACAAATGGATGAACTGTCTAAAAATCCAAATCAAACTCTTAGCTATGCTACTTCCTTCTGCAAACCTTTCCTAGTATCTGTTTCTGTGGAAAATGTTTAGTATTTCTTTGCATTTAAAGGTGCCCTGGTGGCATAATGGTTACGTGTGCGGTCGCTAACCACAAAGTTAGTAGTTTGAATCCACCAGCCACTCTCAGGGCTACAGACAGGGCTTTATAACTCCCATAAAGAGTTGGTCTCAGGAACTCACAGAGACTATTTTACAGGGTGGCTGTGTTGGAGTCAACTACGTGGCAGTGAGTTGCTTTTTTGTTTTTCTTTGGTGTTTGCTTCTAGAAATACTCATGCCATCTGTCTTATCGCTCCCTGTGTGTGTCTTTGTTTCTATTGTGTACTTTATATAAGTAAAAAGTAGTTAGATTTGGAACCTGAATTACTTTGGGATTAGCTCATTAACAAAATTTTAAAATAATTATTTTTCTATCTCCCAATAGATACAGGGACAGGCGCCAGGACTTCAAATGTGTGATATAGAGGTGGGAGACCAAATCCAGTCCATACAGTTGTTAGTTTCCGTTGAGTTGGCATTGACTCATAGTAACCTTTCATATAAAAGAATAAAATATTGCCCATTTCTCTTCCAGCCTCATAATCACTGCTATTTTTGGACTCATTACTGCAGTCATCATGCCCATCTGTCTCATGAGAGTCTCTCGTCTTTTGACTTTACCAAGCACGATATCCGTCTCCAGTTATTTTCTTCTGATGCCATGTCCAAAGTAAGCAGGGCCAAGTCCTGCCCTTCCTGCTCCTAAGGAGCATTTTGGCTTTGCTTCTTCAAAGACAGATTTATTTGTTTTGCGAAATGCCCACTATATATTCAATATCGGTTACCAATTCAATTCAGCGGCACCAGTTCTTCTTCGGGCTTCCTTTGATGTTGTCCATATTTCACAGGCAGATGAGGTGATTGAAAAGATTAAGGTTTGAGTCACGCAAGTATTTGTCATCAAAATGACGTTTTTTCTTTTAACACCTTAAATAAGTCTTTTCCAGCAGATTTGTCCAACGCAATGTCGTTTGAGTTCTTGACTCTTTCTCTCATGGGCAGTGGTCACTGATCCATGAATAATGAATCCTTGATAGCTTCAATGTCTTTGCCATTATCGTGGTTTTTTTAATTCTCCAGTTGTGAGGATCGTTTTCCTTTATATTCATGTGTAGTTTTCCCCCTCCACCGTGAGTGCTTCAAGTGATCTTCACTTTCAGGAAGTAAGGTTGGGTCATCTCCATTCCTCAGGTTGTTAATGAGTCTTCTTCTAAGCATGATATCATGCTATTCTTCTTGCAATCCAGTTTTTTGACTCAGATTATTGGCTCAGTATATATTGAATAAGTAAAAAGAAAAAATACTATCTTTCTATGTTTTTTTCAAGCTTGAAACCATACAGTACCCTTTCTTCTAGTTTTGTCTGTGTCGTTATTCATGTACAGATTCTGCATTATAAAAATTAAATGTTCTTGAATTCCTATTTGCATAACACTACCTGTAATTTGTTATGATCCACTCAGTAGAATGTTTTTTTGTAGTCAATAAAACATCAGTAAACAAACATATTTCTGATCATCTATGCCTTTGACCAAGATTCATCTGACATCAGCAAATTTATCTCCTGAACTTCCTCTTCTGAATTTGTCCTGGCCTTCTGGAAGTTCCCAGTGTATGTACAGCTGCAGGAGATTTTGACTTTTCTTTGCAAGTTTTTGCTAGTATGTGATACTAGTGCTATTATCTGAAAACTTTTCCTGTTCTGTTGATAATCTTTCTTTGGAATGCGAGCAGATATGGATCTCCTCCAGTCAGTGAGTCAAGTAGCTGTTTTCTAAATTTTGTGACATAAACAAGCAAGTGCTCTCAGCATCACACCTGTTTGCTGAAGTATCTCAATTGTTACAATTCTCAACGCCTGGTTTCTCTGTCCCACTCCCCACCCTCAATGCCTTCATGGTGTTCTTATGGAACCTGGACATGGACCAAGAGGCAAGTCAATGGAATAAAATAAGGAAGTGCTGAATGGTTTAAAATCATGAAAAGAGTGCATGAAGGTTGTGCTATTTTCACCACACTTTTCAATTTGTATATGAGTAAATAATCCAGGAAGCTGGACTGTAGGGAGAACATTGCATCAGGATTGGAAGAATGGCCAGTAACAGTCTGAGATATGCAGATAACATACTTTG